TGCGTCTTGATGGTTCCACTCATGAACTTTCAAACTTAGGGCAGCTTGGACCAGTGCAGCATCTGTTTAACTGCCAGGTATGAAGTGACTCCTGCATTGTTCACTTGAGTTCTCCTATTGTGTCACACTAAAGTTTATGCGAGTATTTAAGTCCTTTTTTAGCCCTTTGCTGTCCAGACCCCCAAAATTATATTGCTGTCTGTGTCCAAATTTTTTCAACAAAAAACAATTCTTCTGAAATGATAAAGAATCTTTCTGTGAAGGTAATGACACAAAAAATATGAAATTTAATGCAAAACTTATGAAATTATGCAGATTCACAGTTAGTGGTTTGGGCATAATTTATGCACTGGCAATTTTGCCCATTTTGAGCCCTATTTTAAGTCATTTACAATGCTCCACTCAACCAAATTTTTAACCATTTCATAAGTATTCCTTCCATTCTATAGGTTGAACATAAGAAACTGCCCATTCAGCTATAAGAACCACCCTATAAAGTGCATGGAAATCAATTATTTCTCCAGTTTACAAAAAATGAACACTGTAGACATTCCAAGCACTAAAACAACATTTCCTCCACTCATTAATCATATCCCCAAACTTCTCATGTATTGCACTTGCCTTCTATTTTGAATTCTTTTTCTTCTTTCAACAAACCAGCCATATCCCACCAAAGCAGGGTAGCCCAAAAAGAAAAACAAAATTTTCTCTTTTTAACTTTAGTAATGTATACAGGAGAAAGGGTTACTAGCCCCTTGCTCCCGGAATTTTAGTCACCTCTTACGACACGCATGACTTACTGAAGAAGCATTCTGTTCCACTTACCACGGAGATAAAAGGAAATAAACAAGAACTAGTAAGAAAATAGAAGAAAATCCAGAGAGGTGTGTATATATATGCGTGTACATGCATGTGTATTGTAACCTAAGTGTAAGTAGAAGTAGCAAGCTTACCTGAAATCTTGCAAGTTTTTTTTCTCCCTCTCTCTCTCTCTTCAACAAACCAGCCGTATTCCACCAAGGCAGGGTGGCCCAAAAAGAAAAACGAAAGTTTCTTTTTTTAAATTTAGTAATTTATACAGGAGAAGGGGTTACTGGCCCCTTGCTCCTGGCATTTTAGTCGCCTCTTACAACACGCATGGCTTACAGAGGAAGAATTCTGTTCCACTTCCCCATGGAGATAAGAGGAAATAAACAAGAACAAGAACTAGAAAGAAAATACTTAGAATTTTGAATTCATAATCACAAAAAAAAAAAAAAAAAAGATTTGTCCTTTTTCTCTGATAATAAAATATAACCAGAAATGATTTTTTATGGTTTATGGCATCCCAGTAATTGAATCAGACCTGTTTAAAAAACATAAAAAAGACTGGGGGGAAGAGGGTGTAGCAGTTGCCTTACCCCTCCTCAGGAAAATTAGTCCTGAAACCAGCCACACCCAAAATCATATCTATTTCAGTATTATATCTTCCATTATATCAAATGATACCAAGAAACAGCCAATGTAAGCATAAAAACCATTCTAGAAAATGCCTCGGTCACTATTTTAAACCAAGCACAAGGGCAGAGTTTTGCTTTTCCCATCATGCACCGTATGGGGCAGGATTTTTCTTGTACCGTATACACCCACCACACAAACCCATTCTCTTATATCTAGGCCAAAATTTACTGCTCTCTGTTTACCTGAGGGAGCTGTGCTTAAAATGTAGATTTACACAAGGGACCCTAGGCATCAATAATGTAAATTTGCATGACAACCACTGAAAAGATTTATATAGGAAAAGGATGATTATCTAGAGGTTGATGCATCAGCTGGTGCCCAGGGATATGGTAACTGATACAATACAATTTTGTCATATGTACACTGACACTGAGTGAATTTAAAGAACAGAAAACTTACAGTATTGTACATTCAATATTGTTTTCTCACATGTGCTCCGGAGAAAAAAAACCTGAGTGCTTGTTGTCACTCCCAAAAGTGGCTTGAGTTAATGTTTCCTACAATTTTTAAATAAATGTTTTTGACAACCTAATTGGTGCTATTGGTATAGAACAATATTCTACTGTAGCCAGTATCAATTCCTTAAATATTATCTCCTTTGGCTTGGTATCTCATTTAAAGAGTTCTTGTTATCCAGCCTGTCCTCTTTCTGGCATTTGTGATACTTAACCCTTAAGCTGCTGATAACGTATATGTATGCCTTAAGAAATCGTAATGACACGATTGCAAATAAACCATACCCCCGGCCGGGATTGAACCCGCAACGGGCTGGAGTTTTGAGACTCTATGACCGCGGGTTCAATCCCGGCCGGGGGTATGGTATATGTATGCCAACTGGGAAAATGCCATTGATGTATATACTATACACCAAAATTCTAGGATCTCTAAAGTGGCCATGGTTGGCTTGGTTAGGCCCACATCAGACAAAACAGGTCTGGCTTATAGGTGTGTGCAGTATAAAAAAAATCATGTTGTGAGTGGGACATTGTGGTAGCCAGAAAATGCCATTTATTAGTATTATTGAATAACAAACAGAAGTAACATACTATAAGAAAACAGGAATAGGTCACCTTCAGACCTTCATATCCCCTTAATTACTATTCATATTTTTCTTATTCTTGTCTTATTACATTTCTAAAATCAGAGAGAATTTTTTGATAAGATTAAAAAAAACATTCAAAATTGCCAGCACCGAGGGCACATTTATTTTAGACCTTTTGTAAGTTTAATGGTTAATACAGTATATCAAATTTCTAAAATGATTCTTTGATGAGAGTATGGTTGTGTTCCATAATATTTATTTAGTCCTGATTCCAATTGTTTTATGTTTGGCTTCCACATATTGATAATCTACTTGTACTGCATGGCTTTGAAAGTTTCTCGTTTCCTGGTATAAATTTTTTAGAAGCTGTATTTTTAGGGGAAGCTGCTTGGTTTTATTATTACTTTTTATTATAATACTTAGTAATGAGATAGTTGACAGTAGTGTTACCAAAAACACACCACCTCTTGTTTTTTTCTTATCAAGATTAAACTACTCAATAATGCATTTAGTTTCTGTAGGTTTTATTGTAAATGAATGAAAATAAACAGATGCCTCAATTGCATATGTATAATATTCAGTACTGTTATAACAGATTCATGAAGCGGCACCTCCAGCATTCTGTCTTCGACATGATGTTGATGGCATCTTATGGCAGCCAGCAGGAATGGATACATTCACTCATATTGCAACTTACAATGCCTTTGGTTATGTGAAGGCCTCCAAAACCATGGCAAAATTTACTTGTGCTTCTGCAGGTAAGCATTAATGGATTTCATGTATATAATTTATATATTTTTTTTAAAGAGTGGATAAGGGAGCAATGTGGCAGATGGTGCAAGTATATGGAATAGGTAGTAAGTTACTAAATTTTTTTTAACTTTTATACTTACATATTGTAAGCCCACTCATTGTAATATCTATGTTCATTTTAAAAAGTAAAAAATATTAATTATTATTTTTATTATTATTATTATTTTTTCTTTATTTTTTTTTTCAACAAGTCGGCCATCTCCCACCGAGGCAGGGTGACCCAAACAGGAAAGAAAATCCCCAAAAAGAAAATACTTTCATCATCATTCAACACTTTCACCACACTCACACATTATCACTTTTTTTGCAGAGGTGCTCTGAATACAACAGTTTAGAAGCATACACATATAAAGATACACAACATATCCCTCCAAACTGCCAATATCCCAAACCCCTCCTTTAAAGTGCAGGCATTGTACTTCCCATTTCCAGGACTCAAGTCCGACTATATGAAAATAACCGGTTTCCCTGAATCCCTTCACTAAATATTACCCTGCTCACACTCCAACAGATCGTCAGGTCCCAAGTACCATTCGTCTCCATTCACTCCTATCTAACACGCTCACGCACGCTTGCTGGAAGTCCAAGCCCCTCGCCCACAAAACCTCCTTTACCCCCTCTCTCCAACCCTTTCGAGGACGACCCCTACCCCATCTTCCTTCCCCTATAGATTTATATGCTTTCCATGTCATTCTACTTTGATCCAGTCTCTCTAAATGACCAAACCACCTCAACAACCCCTCTTCTGCCCTCTGACTAATACTTTTATTAACTCCACACCTTTTCCTAATTTCCACACTCGAATTTTCTGCATAATATTTACACCACACATTGCCCTTAAACAGGACATCTTCACTGCCTCCAACCGTCTCCTCGCTGCTGCATTTACCACCCAAGCTTCACACCCATATAAGAGTGTTGGTACTACTATACTTTCATGCATTCCCTTCTTTGCCTCCATAGATAACATTTTTTGACTCCACATATACCTCAACGCACCACTCGCCTTTTTTCCCTCATCAATTCTATGATTAACCTCATCCTTCATAAATCCATCCGCCGACACGTCAACTCCCAAGTATCTGAAAACATTCACTTCTTCCATACTCCTCCTCCCCAATTTGATATCCAATTTTTCTTTATCTAAATCATTTGATACCCTCATCACCTTTCTCTTTTCTATGTTCACTTTCAACTTTCTACCTTTACACACGTTCCCAAACTCATCCACTAACCTTAGCAATTTTTCTTTAGAATCTCCCATAAGCACAGTATCATCAGCAAAAAGTAACTGTGTCAATTCCCATTTTGAATTTGATTCCCCAAAATTTAATCCCACCCCTCTCCCGAACACTCTAGCATTTAATTCCTTTACAACCCCATCTATAAATATATTAAACAACCATGGTGACATTACACATCCCTGTCTAAGACCTACTTTTACCTGGAAGTAGTCTCCCTCTCTTCTACACACCCTAACCTGAGCCTCACTATCCTCATAAAAACTCTTTACAGCATTTAATAACTTACCACATTGCTCCTCTATCCACTCTATCATATGCCTTTTCTAAATCCATAAATGCAATAAAAACTTCCCTACCTTTATCTAAATACTGTTCACATATATGCTTCAATGTAAACACTTGATCTACACATCCCCTACCCACTCTGAAACCTCCTTGCTCATCCGCAATCCTACATTCTGTCTTACCTCTAATTCTCTCAATTATAACCCTACCGTACACTTTTCCTGGTATATTCAGTAAAATTATTATTATTATTATTATTATTATTATTATTATTATTATTATTTAGTGCAGTAGAACCTGTAGACCATGAAGTTTGTATCAGTATTTAACACAGCTTCATTATCCTTACAGATGTCTCCTATGTGGCAGTGGCAGATGTTAGAAGCCACATTTATGTCTTCTTTCAGTCTGAGGTGTTTGGTGGAGAACTGCGTAATAGAAGATCTGGAAAGATTTCGAATACAGTGGCAAGGCAGTTAGTGTTTTCTATGAAGACACATGCTGAGATATTGGGACTTCATGCTTCTCCTAGTGTCCTTTTTGTGCTAACAGATCAAGCAGTTTATGCATATTGTATATGCAGTCTTTAATGTTGAAGGTGCAATTTGCATATATCTGGTCTCTACAGTATGAAAATAGTTTTAGACATAACCTGCAATATGGAAGTTTTTTTTTAATATGTCGGCCATTTCCCACCGAGGTAGGGTGACCCAAAAAGAAAGCAAACCCCAAAAAGAAAGAAAAAGCTTTTATCATCATTCGGCACTTTCACCATCACTCATACATAATCACTGTCTTTGCAGAGGCACTCATATGACTTTTCTAGATGTCCCTCCAAATTGCCAATATCCCAAACCCCTCCTTTAAAGTGCAGGCATTGTACTTCCCATTTCCAGGACTCAAGTCTAGCTAATTGGATATTGTAGCTACAGTTAGAGTAAGAGGTAGAGGGACAAAAGGAAAATGGCAGCAGTGGGGCAGAAGTTTGTGGCTATAGGAGGGTAGGTGCAGGAGGAAAAATGAGTGATTGGTGGAATGATGAGGTAAAGGGTGCAATAAAGGAGAAAAAGGTAGCTTATGAGAGGTTTTTACAAAGCAGAAGTGATATAAGAAGGGCAGAGTATATGGAGAGTAAAAGAAAGGTGAAGAGAGTGGTAAGAGAGTGCAAATGATAGAGTGGGAGAGGTACTGTCAAGAAATTTTGCTGAGAATAAGAAAAAAATTTTGAATGAGATGAACAGGTTAATTAAGAAAGCCTAGGGATCAAATGGATTGGTCAGTTAAAACAGAGTAGGGAAGTTAGTAGATAGGGACCTGGAGGTATTGGGTAGATAGCAGGAATATTTTGAGGAACTTTTAAATGTTGATGAAGACAGGGAGGCAGTAATTTCATTCACTGGCCAGGGAGGTATAACATCTTTTAAGAGTGAAGAAGAGAAGGATGTGAATGTGGGGGAGGTGCGTGAGGCATTACATAGAATGAAAGGGATAAAGCAGTGGGAACTGATGGGATTATGACAGAAATGTTAAAAGCAGGGGAGGATATAGTGTTGGAGTGGTTGGTATTTTTGTTTAATAAATGTATGAAAGAGGGGAAGGTACCTAGGGATTGGTAGTGTGTGTATAGTTCCTTTATATAAAGGGAAGGGGGACAAAAGAGATCGTAAAAATTATAAGGGCATAAGTTTACTGAGTATACCAGGTAAAGTGTATGGTAGGGTTATTATTGAAAGAATTAGAGGTAAGACAGAGAGCAGGATTGCAGATGAGCAAGGAGGTTTTAGAATGGGTAGGAGATGTGTAGATCAAGTGTTTACATTGAAGCATATATGTGAACAGTATTTAGATAAAGACAGGGAAGTTTTCATTGCATTTATGGATTTGGAAAAGTCATATGATAATGGATAGGGAAGCAATGTGGCAAATGTTGCAAGTATATGGGATAGGTAGTAAGTTAATACATGCTGTAAAGAGTTTTTATGAGGATAGTGAGGCTCACATTAGGGTGTGTAGGAGAGAGGGAGATTACTTCCCAGTAAAAGTAGGTTTTAGACAGGGATGATGTAATGTCACCATGGTTGTTAACATATTTGTAGATGGGGTTGTAAAAGAAGTAAATGCTAGTGTGTTGGGGAGAGGGGTGGGATTAAATTATGGGGAATCAAGTACAAAATGGGAGTTGACATAGTTACTTTTTGCTGATGATACTGTGCTTTTGGGAAATTCTAAAGAAAAGTTGCAAAGGTTAGTGAACGAGTTTGGGAGGGTGGGTAAAGGTAGAATGTTGAAGGTGAGCATAGATAAGAGTAAGGTGATGAGGGTATCAAACAATTTAGATAAAGAAAAACTGGATATCACATTGGAAGGAAGGAGTATGGAAGAAGTGAATGTTTTCATATATTTGGGAGTTGATTTGTCCATGGATGGTTTTATGAAGGATGAGGTTAACCATAGAATTGATGAGGGAATAAAGGTGAGTGGTGCATTGAGGTATCTGTGGAGACATAAAATGTTGTCCATGGAGGCAAAGAAGGAAATGTACTAGAGTATAGTGGTAACAACACTCTTGTATGGGTGTGAAGCATGGGTTGTAAATACTGCAGCGAGGAGGCAGTGGAGATATCCTGTCTAAGGGCAATGTGTGGTGTAAATATTTTGCAGAGAATTCGTAGTGTAGAAATTAGGAGGTGTGTAGTTACTAAAAGTATTAGTTAGAGGGCTGTTGAGGTGGTTTGGTAATTTAGAAAAAATAGAACAAAGTAGAATGACTTGGAGAGTGTATAAATCTGTAGGGGAAGGAAGGTGGGGTAGGGGTCGTCCCCAAAAAAGGTTGGAGGGAGGGGGTAAAGGAGGTTTCGTGGGCAAGGGGCTTGGACTTCAAGCAGGCATGCATGAGCTTGTTAGATAGGAGTGAATGGAGAAGAATGGTTTTTGGGACCTGACAAGCTGTTGGAGTGTGAGTAGGGTAACAATTTGTGGAGGGATTCAGGAAAACCAGTTAGCCAGACTTGAGTCCTGGAAATGGGAAGTACAATATGCAAATTGTGTGTAATAATATCAGCAAGTTATGTTGCAAATCTCAGACATAGGATGTATTTGCTAGAGTGATAAGGATTTGAATGTACAGTCTGTTGGTTGTAAAATTACCAGCCTACTGCAGACTCCAGTCTTGATCACTCAGGTGAATTGTTACATTAGTTAATTACAATTTTTCAGCACAGAGATTAGAGTGTTCAAATAATTATTGGTATTAATGAAGAAGATGGTAGAAAGGGAGGAGTAGAAGCTTTGATGGAAGGATATTGACATGTAACTCTCAAACCAACACAATACCTAAACTAATGTTAGATAGTTCAACCAAGCCCTCAAAAGTTTGTGAACCAAATAATCACAGCGTGACAAAGGTACGCACTAAACATATGACTATGATTCGTATATGAAAAAATAGTAGATGAAAACTAATTGACTGAGATGATATGTTGTAATTTTTGTTTTTACCACATCAGCCATCCCCCACCAAGGTAGGGGTGACCCAAAAAAGTAAACATTCACCTCGACTTGATGTGAGATGACTGATGTGGAAAAAAGTATATATTCAATGCCTTATTTAATCAGATTTCATATACTTTTTCTCACACAGTCAAATCTTAGTAATACTATTAGTCTTCTTCCAAGCTTTGGTTATTTGGTTCATACAAATATCAGGTTTTAGGTTAAACTGCTGTGTAATACTTGCTTAGGTATTGTGCTGGCTTGAGAGTCAGTTGCCAAAGTCTCTCCCTGAACACCTCCACCTCTCCCAATCTACCATCTGTGCCAACTTGATCATGTGGGAATGAATGATCCTTATGGGCTTATCACTTTCCAAAAATATAGTAATATACTGTACATACTCAGCGTACTTAAGAGTAAGACAGAAAGTAGGATTGCTGAGGAACAACAAGGATTTTGGAAGAGTAGGGGATGTGTAAACCAGTTGTTTACATTGAAGTGTGTAAGTGAGCAGTACCTGAAGATAAGACATTTTTTTTTTACATTTATAGACTAAGAAAAGGTATATGATAGGATTCTCCATGGAGAGATGAAACAGAATTCTTCTTCCGTAAGCCATGCATGTCATAAGAGGCGGCTAAAATGCCGGGAGCAAGGGGCTAGTAACCCTTTCTCCCGTGTACATTCTTAAAGTTAAAAAGAGAAACATTTGTTTTTCTTTTTGAGTCACTCTGCTTCGGTGGAATACAGCTTGTTTGTTGAAAGAAAGAAGATATAGGATGAATAGGAAATCAGTGAGGCAGATATTTCAAATATGTGGAATAAGTGATAGGTTACTAAAAGCAGTAAAGAGGTTTATGCAGATAATGAGGCTCAGGTTTAGGTATGTAGATGAGAGGGAATAATATCATTCTTATATTATGATGAGCTGTTGGAGTGTTATTTTTATATAGCTGGACTTGAGTACTGGAAATGGGAAGTACAATGCCTGCACTTTAAAGGAGGGGCTTGGGATATTGGCAGTTTGGAGGGATATGTTGTATATCTTTATATATGCTTCTAAACTGTTGTATCTGGGTGCCTCTGCAATGACAGTGATTATGTATGAGTGAGGTGAAAGTGTTGAATGATGATGAAAGTATTTTCTTTTTGGGGATTTTCTTTCTTTTTGGGTCACCCTGCCTCAGTGGGAGACAGCCGACTTGTTGAAGAAAAAAAAATCTATGTTTCATTAAGCCATTCAGTTCAAGCAGTAGTGAAGGCTCAGTCCTCCATTCACTAATCTTTAGATGAATATGCAGCAATCTTAGACAGTAGGCTAGTGGGAGAATAAGCTAGAGACCAGCTTAGTCTGATTATATTATTATTAATGAACTAAAGATACTATTTTTCAGTAAAAGTAGGTCTTAGATAAGGGTGTGTGATGTCACTATGGTTGCTTAACATATTTATTGAAGTAAATACTAGGGTGCTGGGGAGAGGTGCAGAACTAAACAGATGACAAATTAGATATATATAAAATGAGAGTTGATGGCAGTTCTTTTGGGAGATTTTGAAGAGAACTCACAATGGTTATTTGAGGAATTGGGGAGAGTATGCAAAGAAAGAAATTAAGGGTGAACATAGGTAAGAGCAAGTGATGAGCGCAACAAGAACTCTAGGTAATGTAAGATTGAATATCAGATTAGAGGGAGGCAGTATCGAGAAATTTCATTTTATTTCAATATTTGGGAGTGGACCTGTTAGCAGATGGGTCTTTGAAGGGCAAGGTAAACTATTGAATAGAAGAGGGGGAAAAAGGTTTGTAGTGCATTAAGACAACAACACAAAGAACTTTATCCATGGAGGCAAAAAGGAGAATGTACCAGAGTATAAAAGTACCAATACTGTTACGTGGGTGCGAAACATGAGTTCGAAATGTTGCATCAAGGAGGAGGCTGGAGCATTGGAGATGGTGTGTTTGAGGGCAATGTTTGGCCTGAATATTATGTAAAGAGTTTTGTGTGTCATGGAGATTAGAAGAATTTGTTGGGTTACCAAAAGTATAATTCAGAAGGCTGAGGAAGCAACAATGAGATGGTTTGGGCACTTAGAGAGGATAGAGCAAAACAGGATGATTAGGAAGGTATATAAATTTGGGGTAGAGGAAGGGAGTGGTAGGGGGTTCCCCAGGAAAGGTTGGAGGGAGGGAGTAAAGAAAGTTTTGAGTTCTAGGGACTTAAACATTTCTACTGGTGTATGTAAACACTAGGTAAGAGTTTTTTCAGACCTGACATACTGTTGGAGTGTGAAGGGATTCAAGGAAATTTATTAACTAGACTTGAGTCTTGGAGGTGAAAATTACAGATCTTGTATTATGAAGGAGGGGTGGGAATGTTGCAGTTTGGAGAGCCATCTGAACTGTAATGTCAGCATACTCTGATGAGTCATTGAATGAATGATGGTCGACATGTTTCCTCTTTCTTGGGGTCACCCTTTCTCAGTGGGAGATGGCCAGTGTATTTAAAAATTACTGTATTGAAAATCTGAATCTATCAATAATATGCAGTAGTACTCAAACTTACAATATTAAATCGTTCTTGAAAATTCATTGTAAGTCAAATGTTTGGTACTTTTAACACATTTTCCCGTAGAAACCCATGTTATAATCAGAAATGCATTCCTAAGCCATAATATTTTATCTAAACTCATTTATAATTTTAGCTAAGAATATTTATCCATTAGTTACTGCTCTTTTTCAGTTACAATTAGTATTAAACATTGTATAAGTTGTACATGTAATTGTACAGAAGAGAGCTCTAATACATTGTACAGTAGAGTACATGTGTAGGGGCTGGCAGCAGTTGGACTGGCTCAGAGGGAGGGAGAGCTTTCTTAATATTCATAATATTAGCATACACAAATTATGAATGCATTTGGTAGAGAAAGCTAACCGAGATGAAAAAAATTAATAATTCAGCTTTAAGAAAATTGTTAATATTAAATCTGTTGTTCTTGACCAGTTTCTGCCAAACAAATGTGAACTCTACATCCATTAAATAACCATAAACAAAAATTGCATTTAATTAAAAAATGGCAAAAGTTACTTATTTAAAATTATTGTTGCATATTTGCAATAATTGTCACATATGATCAGCATTGGTCAATAAAGTAAACATCTGATAAAATATACCCCGACAAAAATAGCTGGGCAAAGGCTCAACATGTACATGAAGAGGACCAAATCTGCTATATCAGTTGACTGTTAGATTATACATTTGATAAAATGAACCAACACCAGTTAATTGCACGTTTGTGTGGTCTAGGGTTTGTCCAGGACCTGTCCATCTTCATTGTGGTGATAGAGACAAGTCTCTTGTGTCCAACTGGAAATTATGTTGTCAGAGACAAAATAATTGTTTACAGAAGTGCAAATGGGGAGGCAGGGAAGGAAGTGCATCCAGCCAAGCCAACCAGCCAGGCCGCCTGCCTGTGGTACACATATAGTCTGCCACTCGCTTCTGGTACACATGTACAGTCTCCCTCCCATCTGTGAGCAAGAGAGAGAGAGATACAGATAAATCAATGCATGCTAGCATTAGTTATATCTTTGTATGTCCAGCTGTGTCATCCATACAGTGGACTAAGTATGTTAATCAAAACTTTCAATATAACAGATTTTTTTGCAAAAGTGAATACTCCTTCACCATATTAATCCATTTTATCCCATGTTCACTGTAGTTAATTAATTGTTTGTAGCTCTAGTCATTCATAAATTTAATACTATAACCTTTTAATGAATTAGATAAAAGAAATTGAGAAAATTATTTATTTAAAATAATGATAATTACTGCAGATCAGTATTCAAAATTAATTAAATTGGCTCCAAAGAAGTGCAAAACATCATAAATGAGAATATGGTAAGTTGGCATCCTTCTGTATGTGTTATTAGGGAAAAATGCTAAACCCATAGTGATTATCAGTGCCTGGGCAATCAGCATTTGATCCATAGAGAAAGCCAGGTTCAGTTCCTTGCATCAAGAACCGCTCGCTGGCATCAAGGAACCTCCCTCGAGGAGTTACTAATTCTAAACACCAGGTTGATTGTCCCCTACTTCAAAAGTATACTGTACAATGATTAGTATTATATTCACAAAAATGTGCCAGACCCTTATGTATCATATAACTATATTTTGTTCCCATTTTATCCAGTATGTAGTACAAAATAATCCAACTATTACTTTTTGATAAAGTTCATTAGAATTCTAAATGTATTAGTCGCTATTGGAGTACTGCACCTTTACTGCACTTAAAAAATATTTATTAACAATTGCTAGAATAAATCTTACAACACAGGTGGTAATTTAATTTATATATATTGTGCATTTTCTTGTTTGGAGAAAGCTTCTCTAAGTAAATTATGCATCAATATCTTTAATCCTTCTTTTTGTTGTTATTAATTGACATCTAGTGAATGTGTGAGATGTGAATGTTTCAGTCATTTCCCGTCCTGACCTGGTGGGAAATGACTGATGTAGTAAAAGAAACTATCTCTGATGCCTTTTTACTCCTGTAAATGACCTTCATTAGAAATACCTTAATGATTCCCTTTTAAATGCTTCTCTAAACTAAAAGTTGTTAGGACTATCATGCTTGACATTGTTCATACCCTGTTATTTTTAGCAGAAGCCCACACATAAAAGTGGAAGACTGATTGAGCAGACACTTCGTAATTTATGAAAATACTGCAAGATACACATTCTGTATATTCTCTGATAAAAGCATTGTTTTTTAAACTCCAGGATGGTGGGGCTGTATGACCCTTGTGGGTTTAATGCTTAGTTATGATGATAATAATAATAATAATAATCCAGGATGGTGGTAAATAAAAACTGTTTTTACATAAAATAGATCTCCAAGCTGCAAAAATGCATCATTTGTGTATACTCAGACTTAATTAGCATCAGCTGCTCAGGCAGAACAACTGTACTCATACACAGCACTTTTTCTGGAGCAATTGATTTATATTTCTATAGCTACTACCCCTCAAGGGAGGTTCCTTGATGCTGGTGAAGGGCTCTTGATCTAGAGATAGTGCTGTATGCCTTGTGGATTATAATAATAATATTAACCCTTTGACTGTCGCAACCCCCAATCCTGAGGTGTCTCCTGGTGTCGCAAAATTTAAAAAAAAAAAATTATTTTTTCTTATGAAATGATAGAGAATCTTTTCCCGATTGTAATGACACCAAAAAAACGAAGTTTGATGGAAAACTGACGGAATTATGCTCTCGCGAAGTTAGCGACCTTGGCGCTGTTTACAAATCGGCGATTTCGCCCACTTTGAGCCCTATTTTCGGCTAATTCCATTGTTCCAGTCGCCCAAACCCATAGCTATTTCTTTAGAACTCCATTTTTTCTATCGATTGAATACAAGAAACTGCCCATTTACTGATTTCAACTACCTAATAATGTGGTCAGAAATTTGCAATTTGGCCAATTTCACGAAAACTAAAAAATATGACAATTTCAATATAAGGTCCAGAATGAACAATGCAGACATTCCTGGCTCTAAAATAACGTTTTCTTTGTTCATCAGTCACGTCTCCAGGCCCTTCTGATATTACTCTTGCTTTCTATTTTGAATTTTTATTCAAACAAAAAATATTAGACTTACTATTATGCAGACTACTGCAATGCTGTAATAACTGTATAAATAACATCAACCCATTCATGACTGCATATTAGAATGGCTAGTTGGACATTTATTGGACAATGGCATCATTTGTTTACTTTTGAACATTGGCAAAAATCAAACATTTCCCCTACTTTGAGCTCCATTTCTAGGTTCTTTTTATAGTAAAATCAATCAAAATCACCTCTATTTCTGTAATATGTTTTCCATTCTATCAAATGAGACCAAGAAAACGAGAATACAACCATAAATACTATACGAAAATAGACCACAAAGTCGGCATTTTAATTAAAAAAAACGGTCGGAGTTTTTTTTTCTCATTATGCACTGCGTGCTCCAGGATTTTTTTTATATGGTGCACACAGACCCATTCTCTCACATGTGGGCCTACCAGCTTTCTCCTGCTTGATTTGAAGCCGCTAGAATTTATGAGTATATATACATCAAACACGGCACCTCGTAAAACGTATATATACGACCGTGACAGTCAAAGGGTTAATCTTGATCTAGGAAACTGGATCTGTGCTCCAATTCCCTGAATTAAGCCTGATGTCTTCCATACCCCCCCACAGGCACTATAATCCTTATGGGTTTAGCACTCTCCCATGATAAATCTATAACTACTAAAGTGCCAGCTGCTGTCATTCTTCATCCCCATTCCAAAGGAGACATTTCATTGTCAGTTCACTGTTCCACAGTGATAGGTATGGTATGAATGATATTTGGCTGCTACTCTTGTAGGAAGCAGTAATTCGATCTTAAACACAGAGGACAAAGTGCTTTAATGACTGATTCATTACATTATACAGCACTGTTCATCCAATGACTGCTCTGTTCCACAAGGCACAGTACTTGCTTTCATCCTGTTCCTCAGCCTCATATCTGACATAGACAGGGATGTAAGCCACAGCACTGTGTTTTCCTTTGCAGATGACACCCGAATTTACATGACAGTGTCCTCCATTAAAGAGACTGCAAGATTCCAGGCGGACATCAACCAAATCTTTAAATGGGTCGCAAAAAACAATATGAAGTTCAATGAGAAATTTCAGTTACTCCAGTATGGGAAACGTGAGGAAATTAAAACTATATCTGAGTATAAAGCAAATTCCAACAACACAATAGAGCAAAAAACTAATGTAAAAGACCTGGGAGTGATAATGTCAGAGGATCTCACTTTCAAAGACTGCAACATTGTATCAATTGCATCGGCTAGAAAAATGACAGAATGGTTAATGAGAACATTCAAATCTAGAGATGCCAAGCCCATGATGACACTCTTCAGGTTGCTTGTTCTATCTAGGCTGGAATATTGCTGCACACTAGCAGCACCTTTTAAGGCAGGTGAAATTGAAAGCCTGGAAAATGAACAGAACCTTCACAGCACACAAGTGCAATAAAACACCTCATTTACTTGGAACGCTTGAAGTTCCTTAGCCTGTACGCCCTAGAATGCAGGCGAGAGAGAGACAGATGATTATATACACTTGAAAAATCCTAGAGGGATTAGTAACAAATTTGCACATGAAAATCACTCCCTATGAAAGTAAAAGACAGCAGATGATGCAACATCCCCCCAATGAAAAGTAGGGGAGTCACTAGCACGATAAGAGAGAACACAATAAGTGACAGGGGTCCAAGGCTTTCAGTTGCCTCCAACATACATAAGGGGGATTACCAATAGACCCCTGACTGTCTTCAAGAAGGCACTGAACAGACATCTAAAATCAGTACTTGACCAGCCAGGCTGTGGTTTGTACGTCAGGTTGCATGCAGCCGACAGTAACAGCCTGGCTGATCAGGCCCTGATCCACCATGGGGCCTGGTCACAGACTGGGCCACGGGGGCGTTGACCCCTGAAACCCTCTCCAGGTATGGTTACCTACTGTTGGTAACTTGAATGTTTCCATTGCACTCCATTACTAACAAAATCGTAATAACACGATTACAAACAAATCATAGAACTGATGGGATTTGAGCCCATGGCATTTGAGTCCATTATTTATTAAATGTGCTTCACGTAGATGTTCAACATCATTTTCAATAGTGTTCGGGCATATGCATGAACACTGAACATGTGGACAACTGTATTTGAGGCATCTCTCATAAGTTTCCACATGCTTCCCACCATCACATAACCTATGGAACTCATGTACGACATAAACATGTGGAATCCTCCTGTCTTACACAGATGGGTCAGATCTAGTGAAGATGCCACTGTCTCAGCGGTCTTAATAATAATAGTAATAAATATCTTTATTTACTACAACTACGTGTACAAGGTATACAGGCCGAGCTGACATCAATGATATACATATTACTATATAGAAAGCCGCTTGTTATGCAGAACATTTCGGGCAAATTAGGTCAGTTTTGTCCCAGGAAGCTACCCACACCAGTCGACTAACACCCAGGTACCCATTTTACAGATGGGTGAACATAGACAACCGGAGTAAGGAAGCACGTCCAATGTTTCCACCCCTTGGGCGGGAATCGAACCCGGACCCTCATCGGCCACGGGGCACCGTGTCAAGTGTCTGGTCATAAGTCATACGCAGGTTCCATGCCCTTGTTCACTCAGCTTTTGTGCAAACTCCGTGCTAAGTAAGCTTATCCAAGCACAGGTATACATACAGTTACATGAATTATCATGCATAACAACATATGTGTAGATTACCTAGGATAACCCAAAAAGTCATTGACTTATTTCTATTGGGGTCCTTGTTCTGGGGTCCTTACTTATTGTGCTGGAGTTGGCAGGATCCAGGTTGATGAATGGAAGAATTACAATGCTGCCTCTTTCATGGCATTACTGGGACATGAAGTTTACAACAGGAATATTTTACAGACTCTTTCTGTGACGTGTCTGTATCAGTGGTCCCTCAAGCAAGGTTCCTTGATGCTGGTGAGGGGCTCTTGATCTGTGCTCCAGTTCCCTGAATTTAGCCTAAATACCTTCCACATCCCCCTCGGACATGCGCTGTATAATTCTACGGGTTTAGCTCTTCCCCTTGTTTATAATAATAATAATAATAATGTATCAGTGGCACAAGAGTTCCTGTAGTAAGATCTATACGACTCCTCAAGCTTTACAGCGCTGTATGACCCTGGTGGGTTTAGCGTTTAGTTTTCATTATAATAATAAGCCTCCTCAAGTTATCACTATCTTTAAATAAAAAAAGAGAGACAGCATCTACATCTCTTACAGTCATTGAGAAACTTCCAAGGGATTTTTATAGTGGTGTTGGTAGGGTGGGAACATCTCTATACTTGCCCTGAGTATCACTGACATTATTTTTTCTGAGACGTTTGTCTTTAATCATTCACCCCCTCAACGGAGGTTCCTTGATGCTGGTGAGGGGCTCTTGATTTAGGGAATTGGATCTGTGCTCCAGTTTCCTGCATTGAACCTGAATACTTTCCATCCTCCCCACAGGCGCTGTATAATCCCTACTGGTTTAGAGCTCCCTATGATTGTAATAATTTAATCATTCACTCTCCGCTGGACAGTCGGTAAAGATTATTATTAATTACTATTATTATTATATAATATCATTAAGTAAGTTAAGTAAGTAAGTTTATTCAGGTATACACAAATACAATTACATAGAATTATCATACATAGCAGCATATGTGTAGAGAACCTGGGATAACCCAAAA